ATCTTTAAAGAAGGAGACAGTAGCCTGGTACAAATTACCTCTGAAAGTTGCTTCTCAGTCATCTCAACTCCTTCTAGAAGGGTTTTAAGTAGTGGCACAGCACCAACCGAGTCCCTAGACTGATCAATCTTTGAGAAGCTGACGTTAACAACTGAGGATGCTCTCCCCAAGTTGTCGGCAACATCTAACAAGCTCTTTGCAAAGTTCTGCAGCGCATTTCAAGTAGAATATTAGGGGAAATAACTAACACTTACTGTCCACTCATCATATACTGCTAACAAATACTTGCAGCTTGAATGCCATATAGCGCCTATTCAGCCTACATTGACAAACCCAAATACTTGCATAAAGAAAATGCAGGAAAATTGGAATCCCACGCTTCAAGAATGCAAACCTGGACAGCAAACTTTTTTGAATTCTCTAAGTCACGCTTTGTCCTTTCAATAATATTCTCCGTCTCTGCATAGCTACGAAGAACTTTTTCTTGCATCTTTTCAATTTCCTTTTGTTTTGCCTTCAGTAACACCTCCTTTTCAGCTACTAGTTTAATCAGATCATCAGCAGATAATTCATCCTCGGCATCTGAATCAGAAAATGCAGTTCTTTTAGTACTCTTCCTCCTCTTCTCGCCAAAATCGGACTTTGAAAGGTCAGTTTCAACATGAGAATCGAACTTTCCAGGATGTGCTGCAGCATCACCATTGCTCCCTTCTTTCTTTGTTGACTCAGCTTCGTTCTTGTCATAAGAAATGTTCTCAGAGGCCTTATCATGGTGTTTAGAAGTTTTTGTTTCATCTGCAACCTGACTGGTCTCCTTCTGATTTGTCTGAGGTGATGCAGATGACGAAAACCAGGAGTGATGTGAAGCAAAAGTCCCAATGTGGGAGTGGCACAAAACTCGTGATGATAAACAGGAAACCTGAACTCACAGATGCACAGCAAAAAAACAGAAATGAGCTTATACCAATTTTATTGTCATGAGATGAAAGTGCAAAAAAATAATAACAGGCAAGACAAGCACTTTGACTAATAGGCAAGACTAACACTTTAACCAACTGAGGATCAATCTATTACACAAAATATCTATATATATAAAGCGAGAGCAACACCCACCCTATTCTAGTGCCACGTGTCCTTCTCTCATTAAAAAACTCTTACATCTTTCCTAAATTCTCTACCTTATCTCTCTCTTATTTATATCATCTACGGTTTCTCTCTCTACCGTTTCTATCTCTCTCTCTCCTTCTTTCCTAAAATCTCTCTCCCATTTATTTTCCTAAAATCTCTCATCTTCTTTGTTTATGTCATCTACGGTTTTCCTCTCTACCATTTCTATTTCTCTCTCCCTCTTTCATAAAACCCCTCTCCCATTATTTTCCAAAAATCTCTCCCTCTCAACTGTTTCTCTCTCTTAGTTATATCATCTGCGTGTGCTTATTTCTCTCCTCCTCTTTCTTAAAATCTGTTGACCTTCTATTTATCATAACTCTCTCCCTTCCTATGGATTCTCTCTCTTATTTATATCATCAATATTTCTTTTTCTCTCCTCCTCTTTCCTAGAATCTCTCTACCTTATATTTATCATAACTCTCTAGCTCCCCATGGATTCTCTCTCTTCTCTCTTTCTTATTTATAACATAATATTTATTATGGAAACTCTATTATTTCTCTCTCCTCTCTCAACAAGCTCTGTCTCTTCTCTCCAAAAAGTTTCCAATCACAAATTTTTCCATTCTCTCTCTCTCTCTCATCACATGTAAAGCAGCAGCCTTATTTCAGTCAATAGATTCTTTATTAAATATACGTCTCTCCCTCCTCTCATTAATTCTCTCTCCCCAAATAATCATGCTCCATGCGCAGTCATGGCTCACCCACTTTTTGTTATATATTTGTTAGCACTAGTGTAAAGAGATGCACCTTTCTCTCTCCCTAAACTTCTATGCTTTGCTTCACAAGCCATACAACAATTGCAATCTTTCCCTCCAAGGTGATCACGTCTTTATTCTCTAAATCATTTGCTTCACGTGCAATACAGACAATTTACACTTACTTTTTGTAAGGCGGTCACATTTTCTCACTCTAAATACGTACGTTCACTCCCATTCTCTAATGTTATTATATATTATATCATGCCAATTTTATGAGAATGAAGATTGCGTAAATTTAGTACCAAAAGAACTCCCTCCTTTAAAAGAATCCAATCAATTTAAAATATGTAAGACATTTGGAATCTGCAGAGATATTCTCTAAATAGCTCTAAACACCAGGAAAGCAGCTAATATAAAGAGTTACATGAAGAACAAAAAAAAGTCACCCTATGCATGAACAATGGACAACAGATTAAAACGGGGACCCATATAGGCATGATACCTTTGTACAAGACTCTAACAATATGATATTTCCAAGCATGCAGTTGGTTGAGTCTTTAATTCTTTATCTCCATTTATATACAAAATCCATGTCAGCATTCCCTAATATATGGTTACTGTTGTTAGGAACGAGGCTTCATTTTTACTTCTAAGAGTGACAATTTGATATATATTTTTTGAATCTGAGTCACTAATTCATATTCATGGTCAGAAATTAAAATCATATAGGATCATATTCCTCTATAAATATGTATGCTCAAGTTAGTCAAATTTGATTGAAGAAAAAAAATTATGTTTGCTAGAATCAATTGATTTTTTTACAATATTTTTCCCTATGGCTTACTTTTCACTTTTTTGTATGCTGGCAAATCACACAAGGTTTATTTGGGCGGGTAAGGCGGTGTTCTCATTTACATAGTGCTTTAAGTTTCATGATCTAGTAAAGGTGAATTTCTTAATATTTATGTTTCATTTCACTACTTGCTACCAATAATTTTTCTATATAAGTCTTCATGAATAAAATTTCCCCATAGCAACATCCATATTCTTTTTAGTTTACATCTTATGCATACTACATTTTTTTTTCTATTTTCTTAATTTTTTTCATTTTCTATTTTCTAAATTTTCAAGACAATATTTACTTAAGTAAATAATACATTTACTATTATGAGTACAAATAAATTCAGTTATATTAAAATAATATATTTCAAAATGCAAGAAAATATAAAAATGCCAAAACTATCCAGGGAAAGTAAAACACATATGATAATAAGTAGTTATATTTTATTTTAAGCATATTTTTTTAGACTAATATTTAAATAACTTAATAATATATTTTGCAAAAAATACAATGCAATCCTAATTATCTATTATATATAATGCGAGAGGAGGTCCCCCTTTATTTTATTTGTCTCTATCTTGACCTTCTGTTTACAAATAATATTAGAAACATGAAAAAACAACCAATATGTATCAGTGGAATATTTGTATTTAAAATTAGTAAATCACGGTAAATTATTTAGTGAGATATGAGATTGAAGGAGATATTAATATTTAAATTTATCAATATTTTGGCGAGTGTTTAGACTCTAAACACTATAGAGTAACATATTGCATTCCAAATATTAAAGGAAGTAGCTAATAAAAAACAATGCATGTGTCTCTCTGTAAAGGCAAGCATCTTTCATAAAAAATTAGCATAACGGATTTAGAAACTTTTGAATATCACAAGTTAAGATAGTAAAATATTTTAAATTTTTTATTCTTATTTAGAGAAAATACATCATGCTTTATTACCAATGCTATAATAAACCGTAAGAAATTCCCACATTTAATTTTTTTAAAAAAAAATATTATAAATTTTTTAAAACGTAAAAAAAAAAATTTGGTCTCCCTATTATCTTATTTTATCACAAATAGTATGTCTGAATTATTTATATTTCTTTCATTATTTAAAAAAAAATCATAATGATTTCATAAAATTATGCAATTGTGAGGATGATCACTACGACCATGGTTTATTGAAAATATTTTTTAATGACAAATATGTTTTAGAGATTAATATTAAATATCACGTGCAACACATGTGCATATTACTAGTAATCAAACAAACATGAAACAATGGGAATGGCATTAACTATATCACATATCCATTCAGTCCCTAATTAATTTCATAGTTAAGGCACACAAAAGAGGGTTCAAGCATGCTTGCATCTTATGTTCCTTTCCGTGGGGACAACCATACAATGGTCAGAAATATCAATAGTACAACTTGCAAACTCTAAGACAATAACTTTGACTGGTGAATCTTGAGATGCAATTCTCTTTTTCTCATGTGATATAATGGAATATGAGTAAGTGAATAGAGTAGCCAACAATCTGTAATTTAGTATGGTCTGTTGTGCCATCGTCATTTACATCTAATAACTGGCAATATAAAACAATTTATGGGTACTCTTAAGGATGACTGACGCATCCAATTTGATTTCTATTTAGGTGACCGTTATGCCACATCAAATACAGATGTTTCGACACAAATAAACATCTATCCTGCACAATGCCTGCCTATCATTCCTAGGAGCTCAAGCACCTCAACGGATGCTTTAATAAATGTTGTCACTTTCCATTCAATTGAATTTTCTCTCTATTTGATCAATATACTTCATTGTTCTCTTCACATTTTATTCTGTCATGTTAAAACTTTCATCATCATCATCTTCTTTTTCATGTTAAAACTTCCATCATCATCTTCTTTTTCATCTACAGTACAACACCTTCCTTAAATGAGTTCTACATCCCCTAAACATCACCCGATATTAAGAGGGATGTTGCCTCGTGTAAAAATATTCCTGAGACTACCAAGGAGGCGATTAAAATATTTGAGTTCAGTGAAACACAAAAAGCAAGAAAAAGGTGAAGAGGCACCCGGACGAGGGAGATTCAAAAAAAATAGAGGAGGACAAGCGTTATATTGAAGAGGGAGATGACTTGGCCTCAAATCCGCTTACCCTACTTTTTTTTATGATGGTTGAAGACACTCGACTTTTGGTGTTGAGTCGTAGACTGTAGGTATTCTTTTTCTTTTTTTCTTGTTTCTACTTTCTACTATTACTCTTATGTATATGGTTGTATCATTATATGAAAATATGGATTATGAAATGATATGAACTATAGAGCATGGGGTATGGTCTATGGAGTATGGATTATGCCTGTATTACTAATTTGAGCCGCTATTACTACTAATATAGAAGGGTTTGGAACTTTTTGGATTATGAGATTTTTAATATTTAATTATGCATACTCAGATTCTCCTGCCCCTGCTCCTTTTCCTCAACCTAGGTTATAGGCTGCCTAGGTTCTAGGCGGCACTAAGTAAGCCCCTGCTCCTCTTCTTCAACCTAGGTTATAAGGCCGCCCATGTTCTAGGTGGCACTGAGTAAGCCCCTGCTCCTCTTCTTCAACCTAGGTTATAGGCTGCCCAAGTTCTGGGCGGCACTTACAAAAAGTGATGCATGGACTTTTTTTTTGGGTCCACAATGATGCATAGAGATATCAAAATGATACTTTTCTGTCTCAAAAGTGAGGCATAGACTTATTATGTAATTTTGATCGATTGTCCTCTGCAGAAAACTCATCTCATTTAGAAAATAAAAGCACCCAATCTGCAAATAAAATTACTTACAACAACCAAAGCTCATAGCATGGATTATGAAACATCGCACCCTAGCACTTCAAAAAATAACCAAAACGGACCTCAGGATAGATAAAAAACCAAATTTTTTCAAATAACAATATCTTGATAATCAAGAACTGCTTCAGAAACTCATACAAGACCGAGTTTTACAAATAAAACCAGTTTTACAAATAAAACCATTCAGTAATCAATAACAGTGCCAAAGACTGATGAAGACACTAACTTGTTCAAACAATAAAATATCAGAAATTAATACCTATATCAAAGTTGCAAAAAGCTCTAGCTTTACAAAATACTATCATAAATCAAAACTCATCTCGGAGATGGATTAGGAAACCACACGTCCTCAAATACTACCATTGCAAAACCAAACTTGCTCATGAATCAAATTTACAGAGAGCAGGGAAACAAGACAAACCTCGTATAGAGATCGTTCGAGTTGCGGAATCACATGACCTCCACAGAGGAGAGCATGTATCCGAGATGAGAGGTTTCCTGACTGTGAAACACCACTCCTCAGAAGTCTTGGAAGAACCCTAAAAATTGTCATCCTCGGCTAACAATTGTCAAAAATGGCTCTCTCTCTCTCTCCCTCTCTCTCTCTGCACGTGCAGATGTAGCCTACCTGGCTGATCCTAGGACAGAAAGACATGCCCTGGTGGACGGCTCAGCCTCAAGGAACTGCAGCATTAGCTAAAGCGCAAGATGCTTCTAGAACTTAATTGAACTTTTTTTTAATGTGGGCCCTCGGCCATTAAAATAAATCCTCCTTCTTCCTTATATTTATAAGGTCCCTCGGGTGTACTAAATCCTCCCAATTCCCGTTCGAAGAATACGTTAATTGAACTTTTTTTAATGTGGTCCTTCGGCCTTAAAATAATGAACTTTTTTTACCGTTATAACTACATTGTCCGAGGATAGCCCGTTATTAAAGCCACCAAATATTTATATAAAGAGCACAGACAAAATACAAGGAGTTCCCTTCCACGGGTAGTGTGTCAAAAGAATAGAGTCTTATATAATTTTGGTAGATTCTTAGTTTAGTGCTCTTGCAGGTTTACGTTAAAGTGCGAGTTCCGTAACCACACGTGAAAATAGTAAAAATAGTATAGCTTTCTTTTGCTTCAATTGCCATCTTAAAATAAAATATATTTCTTGCATTCCCTGATTTTTATATTATTTTCGATAAATATATTTTATAATGGTATTTTAATTGAGTTTGATAAACCTAATGTGAGAATATAAAAAAGTTGTTAAATGAACATGTAATAACTAAAATTTTGACATAGTCATATTCAGCGTAATCAAATATTTACAGGGAGAGGAAGAGAGAGCATTTCGTTGACAGAGGGAGGGAGAGATAAAACTAAGAATTATATTGAGACATATACCGATCAATCAAACCCGCATTTTATGATCATCAACATAGACCAGTAAATGAGCGCATACCACATCAAAACAATATTTCATTAACATCAATGCATACCACTTATTGAGGCGTTTTAGAGATCGAAAACACATCAACACAAAAAAAAACCACATCATTAGTCAATCCTCGATAACTCCATAGCTTTATTTCAACCTCGAAAATGCTACCTCGAAGAAATTAGTACCCCAATATGATCATTTCCCTATATATATCTATAATAAATCTGAAACCATTATAATATACCCCAAGACCTTATTTATTTATTATTTATTATTAAGCGAGAGCAACACCGTCTTTATCTTTGTGTCAGATATCCCACCATATTAATAATTCTCTCTTCTCTATCCCCCACATCTCTATCATGCCCATGCATGGCATCTCATGCTCCTCCTTTTTGTTTCTGATCTCATTCTCTCCTTTACTCTCCCTATGCACGTAACTCCTCTCCACCCCTCACCTCTCTCTCTCGCCCCAAATGTTAAACTCTCGCATTAATTATCATGCCTATGCATGTCATCTCATGGCCATCCCTTTTATCTTTCATCTCATTTTCTCCCTTCGTCTTCCCATTCACGTAACTCCTGTCTACCCCTCACGCCTCTCTCTCTATCTACCCCCAAATGTTAAACTCTTGTGCATTAATTGGCATTAATTATAGCAGATAACCTCTCTACCGCCACGTCTCTCTCTCCCCCGTATTAATCTCTCAAATTAATTATAGAAAATAAGGCATGTCGTTTCTTTTCTTATCTATCTCCTCTCTCTAGCTCTCTACCCCCAAATGTTAAACTCTTGCATTAATTGGCATTAATTATAGAAGATAACCCTTCCACCCCCACGTCTCTCTCTCCCCCTTATTAATCTCTCAAATTAATTATAGAAAATAACGCATGTCGTTTCTTTTCTTATCTATATTTTCTCTCTCCATTCACCGGACTCATCTCTACCCTCTTCTCTCTCTTCCCCATTTAATCTCTCACATTAATTATAGAATATAACTTAGATCCTTCTCTCTCAAGATAAATGCAATCTCTCTCATTGAAAGTTTTCATAAGTAATTATAGAATATAATGCATATCTTCCTATATATTGCCCTAGCTTTTCTCTTTCTTTCTTATCCCACAATGTTAATATTTTTAATATGTAGTTATATATTCACGCAACTCCTCTCTACCCCCCACGTCTCTCCCTTCCTATATGTTAATCTCTCACATTAATTGTAGGAAATAACTCGTAT